TGTACAGACTAAAGGTCAAGTAGTAAGAATGTTATCTTTTGTTGACGTCAAGAAGACAGACCAGTTCTTAGGCTAGTAGTTATTCCTGACGTCACTACAACAGATAGATAAAAAAGCTATTTACCACATCCTAGCGAGCCATCTGATGAGGCAATGGTTGGTCTCTCTCTCTCTCTGGTTGTTGCAGCTGTTCTAGTCAATAACAAACAAACATGGTAGCTCTGCCAGGTGTGTGTGTGTGTGTGTGTGTGTGTGTGTGTGTGTGTGTGTGTGTGTGTGTGTGTGTGTGTGTGTATAAAAGAAAAAATTGCACGTCAGAGATAAATACACATTAGCAGCCATTAATAACGGACATGATGGCCTTGACGTAATATCTTATTCATGAATGTGACCTTATGTCTTGAGGTAAAGTGTGTGGATGTTAGCTATTGATGGATCAGTATAGGTGAGTGTGTTTACCTGTTGGTGGTGAAGGTAGTTGTTGGTGGTGAAGGTAAGTGTTGTTGGTGATGAAGGTAGGTGTTGGTGATGAAGGGGTTGTTGGTGATGAAGGTAGGGGTTGTTGGTGATGAAGGTAGGGGTTGGTTGGTGATGAAGGTAGGGGTTGTTGGTGATGAAGGTAAGGTTGTTGGTGATGAAGGGGCTTGTTGGTGGTGAAGGTAAGGGGTTGCTGGTGATGAATAGGGCTGTTGGTGGTAATAGGCTGTTGGTGGTGAAGGCAGGGGTTGCTGGTGATGGCGTAAGGGTTGTTGGTGATGAAGGTGGGGTTGTTGGTGATGAAGGTAGGGGCTGTTTGGTGATGAAGGTAAGGCGATGAAGGTGCTGTGGGTGATGAAGGTAGGGTTGTTGGTGATGAAGGTAAGTGTTGTTGCGTGAAGGTAAGGGTTGTTGGTGATGAATAGGGTTGGTGATGATTGGTAAGTGTTGTTGGTGATGAGGCAAGGTTGTTGGTGATGAAGGTAAGGTTGCTGGTGAAGGCAAGGTGCTGGCGATGAAGTGTAGGGGCTGGTTGGTGATATAGGGGTTGCTTGATTGTTTAAGATGATAGGGCTGTTGGCAGAAGGTTGTTGTGATGAAGGTAGGGGGTTGTTGATGATTGAAGGTAGGGTTGTTGGTGATGAAAGCTGGGTGATGGGGCTGGTGACGATGGTGAGCGTTGTTGGTGATGAAGGCAAGTGTTGTTGGCGTAATGCAGGGTTGTTGGCAAGATGCAGTCTGGTGATGAAGGTAGGGCTGTGTTATGATGATGGTAAAGGTGTTGCTGGTGATGAAGGTAGGGGTTGTTGGTGATGACGAAGCGCTGGTTGGTGATGAAGGCGTTGTTGGTGATGGGCTGTTGGTGGCAGCAGCGTTGCTGGTGATGAAGCCGTGTAGATGATGGTGGCTGTTGGTGACGAAATGCGCGTTGTTGGTGCAGCGGGTAAGTGCTTGTTGGTGGATGGGCTGCTAGGGGCTGTCGGGAAGAATAGACGGCGGCTGCTGTTGGTGGGGAATGCTGTTGGGAAAGAGTAAGTGTTGTTGGTGATGACGGGGCGTTGTTGGTGGCGAATGCAGGGCGTTGCGGTGGTGAAGGTGAGGCGTTGTTGGTGATGAAGGCAGGGGTTGGTTGGCGGCGAAGAGGGTTGTTGGTGAGATGGTGCTGGCTGTTGGTGAGAAGGCAGGGGCTGTTGGTGATGAAGGGGCTGGTGCTGGTGATGTGACGGTATGTTGGGGCGAGGAAGCCGGCAGTTTGCTGGTGATGAAGGTAAGGGCTGTTGGTGATGAAGGCAAGTGTGTTATGGTGAATGCGGGCGGTTGGTTGGTGACTTAGGGTGCAAGTGTTGAAGGGTGGATGAATAGAGGCTGTTGGTAAGGTAGGGGTTGTTGGTGATGAATAAGTGTTGGTTGGTGATGAAGGCAGGTAAGCTGGGGTGATGAAGCTTAGGGGTGGCTAAGGATGATGGAAGCGTTGTTGGTGATGGAGTAGGGGTTGTTGGTGATGAAGGTAGGGGCTGTTGGTGATGAAGGTAGTAGCTGGGCAGATGAAGGAAGTTGTTGGTGATGATGGTAAGTGTTGCTGGGTGATGAAGGCAGGGGTTGTTGGTGATGAAGGTAGGTGCTGTTGGTAGAAGGTAGGCTGGCAGATGAAGGTGAAATGCCTGCTGGTGATGAAGGCAAGGGGCTGTTGGTGATGAAGGTAGGGGCTGTTGGTGATGAAGGTGGCATGCTGGTGATGATGGTGGGGTTGTTGGTGATGGCTGCAAGGCTACTTGCGACGATGGTGCGCTGCGGTGCAAAAGGTAATTGTTGCCGAAAGTGAATGAGCGGCTGTTTCAAAGATGCGTAGGGATTGTTAAGATGAAGGGTATTGCTGTCGACAGACGCAAGGTTGTTGGTGGTGAACGCGTCAAGGTTACAGAAATAGTCCAACAGGTAGTAAATGCAGGTGGAAGATGAATAAGCAGGGGCTGTTTGGCGATGAAGGCAAGTGTCGCAGGCGAATAAGGCGTTCGGTGAAGAATAAGCAGGCGGCTAGCCGGAAGATTAAGCAGTAGGGGTTGCCGGTGACAAAAATGCAAATGCAGGGCTTGCTGGCGGACAGCCGCAGTGCCGGGCGATGAATGCAGCTGCTGGTTACGATGTAGCGCTGCAGGTGAATGAAGGCGCATTGGGCGAATAAAGGGTTGCTGGTACTTAGCTGAAGGCGCTTGTTGGTGATGATTGCAGGGCTGGCGGTGAAGCATACGCGTTGCTGGTGACGGGCAGTAGCTGTTGGTGACGAAACAGGGGCTGTTGGCAGAATAAAGTGTTGCTGGCGATTAGCAGCGCTACAGGTGAACGCGGGCGTTGGATGATGGTGAATAAAGCTGGTGGTAAGGCAAGCGGCTGGCGACGAAGGTGAGCTGCCGGTGATAAAAGTAAATGCTTGGCGACGCGCGTTGCCGGCGATGAAGTAGGGCCAGTTGCGATGCATTGCTGGTGAAATGGCTACGGGCGGTGAAGGCGTCGCCCGGTGACGAATAGGGAATAGCTGGCGATTAATGTGAAATGTCAGGCGGTGAATGTAGCGCTGGTTGGTGACGAATAAAGCTGTTGGTGGCGAAGGTAGCTGCTGGTGATGAAGGTAGGGCGAAGATGAAGGGTGGAAATAAGCGGCACGAATAAAGTGTTTAAGGCGGTGAAGGCAAGGCGAATGGCAGAATAAGTGCGGCGCGTTACAGGTGAAGGTAAGGTTAGTTAGCAGATTAATAGCTAAGTTGAAGTGACTAAAGGCGGGCTTAAGATGATTTGCAAGGTTGCTGGTGATGAATGGTAGGGGCTACGGGTATCAGCCGCAGTCGTTGCAGTAATGCAGGTGTCGCTGGTGATGAATAGGGGTTTAGGTTAGCATTTAGCTGTAGGGTTGTTGGTGATGAATAGCAGAGGCTGTTGGTGTGAAATGGAAGCGCTTGCTGGTGACAATGCGCGCTTACAGTATCAGCGTGTGCGTTGCTGGTGATGACGCGGGCGTTGCTGGTGATGATGGTGCTGCTGCTGGTGGCGGCTGCGCGCGTCGGTTGGTACGCGCCATTGCTCAGGATGAACAAGTAGGGCTATTGGCGATGAATATGAGGGCTGTTGCGATTGGGGCAAGCGTTGCTGGCGGTGAATAAAGTAGGGGCCAGTTAAGACGCAGCTGTTGGCGCGTAATGTTAGTGGCTGGTGTTGGTGATGAATGCCATGTCGTTTGCGACGAATAGGGCTGGAAGACGATATACGTCGTTGGTGGTAGGCTGGGTAACATAAGATGGCAATGTAGTAAATGCTGGCATTTAGTTGCAGGTATTGTTGAAGATGAAAAAGGCTGGTTGGTGAACAGGGCTTAAGCTGGTGATGCACGTAGGGGTTGCTGGTGATGCAATGGAAGAAGCCATGGGTGATGCAGCTGCAAGGCTTACAGATGCAATGCAGTCGTCGGAAGATGACGTTGTTGGGCGATGAAGGTAGGGCTTTCGTTGGGTGACTAAGGGGCTGTTGCGCACAGAAAGCCGTTGGTGATGAATGCAGGGGCTGTCGGGCGGATTAAAATACAGCTGCCGGTGAATGGAGACGTGGCGTCATGGGCGATTAATAGGGTCACGCGATGGGCTGGCTGGTGAAAAGGTTGGTGACTTAGTCAGAAAGTCGCCAGCACGGCCGCGCGTGCTCACAGGAAGAAGCCAGCAGTCGCTGGTGGCGAATATGCGGCGTCGCTGGTGAGCGAAGGCAGGGCTGGCGGCGATGAAGGAAATGCCGGGCGGGAAGCGGTGAGGCGTTGGCGATGAATGCGAAATAATAGTGATGAAAAGGAAGGTCGTTGGGTGGTGAATGCAAGCGTTGTTGGTGAATAAGGTACGCAAGCGTCGCTGGCGATTTAGCCGCAAGCAAGTTGTTGCGACAGCGTAGGGCTGCTGGCGGCGGCAAGTGCCGCTGGCGGCATGCGCTGTCATTAAGAATGGGCGGTTGCTGGAAGACGGCAGGGGGCTGTTGCGACAAATAAGTAGGGGCTGGTTTAAGAATGGCGAAAGAGGCTGTCGGTAAGTAGGGCCGCGCGTTGCTGGTGATTAAAGCGCAAGCGTCGTTGGTAGAAGGTGTTGGTTAAGATAATAGGGCCGTCAAGATGGCAATGGTAGGGAAATTGTCGGTGATGAACAGATAACAGCGGCGCAATGCGGCGGTTGCTGGCGACGGCCGCAGCGTTGCTGGCGGTTGGTGGCGGTTATTGGTCGGGCGGCACGCGGTTGCTGGTAGCCGCGTCACTGGCGATTGACTTGCAAGGTTGTCGGCGCGCATGCGTTGCTTGCTGGCGGTACGCGCGTTATTGGTGGTGTAAATGTGCTGGCACGAACAGAATATGGTGACGATGGTAAGCGGTTGTTGGTGGTAGAAATGGGCGTTGTTGGCGGTGGCCGCAAGTGCTGGTTGGCGGTGAAGGCAAGGTTGCTGGTGGTGCACAAGCGCTGGTTGGGGTAAGTAGCTGCGAAGTGTTTGCTGAAAGATGATTATGTGCCGTTTGCGACGTAAGTGCTGTCGGCGGTAGCCGCAAGCGCCACAGGTAGCCGCAAGCGTTGTTGGTGATGGGGCCGTGTTGTTGGTGGCTGCGGGGCGGTTGTGTTAAGACGACGGTGCTGTTGTTGGTGCAAAATGGGGCGTTGGTTAAGTGAGCCAGGCGTTGCTGGTGGCGAAGGTAAGCGTTGTTGGTGGATGATGGTCAAGATGAAGCGTTGTTGGTGAAGGCAAGCGTTGCTTGCGACACCCTCCGGTGACGAATGCGCGTTGCTGGCGGTGAATGCGCGTTGCTGGTGATGATGGTGCGTTGCTGGTGAAGCTGCAAGTGTTGGTGGCGATGGGCTGGGGCGCTGTTGGTGGCATGCAAGTGTCATTGGAGATGAAGCTGCGGCGTTGCTAAGATGGGCGTGCTGTTGGCGGTACGCAAGTGTTGTTGGTGGTGAAGGCAAGCGTTGCTGGTGAAAAGCGTGCTGCGTAAGGTAAATGTTGTGGTGATGAAGCGCAAGGCTGTTGGTGATGAATGCGCGTTGCTGGTGGCGAAAGGTTGTTGTAAGGATGAAGCGCTGTTGGTGGTGAATGCGCGATGCTGGCGGATACGCAAGCGTTGCTTGGCTGAAGGCAAGGGCTGTTGATGAATGCAAGGTGCTGGGTGGTGAAGGCAAGGCTTGTTGGTGGTGAAATGCGGCGTTGTTGGTGGTAGCTGCAAGGTTGCTGGCGTGATGAAGGCGCGTTGTTGGTGGTGGAAGCGCAAGTGTTGTTGGCGATGAAGGCAGCGCTGCTGGCGGTGAATGCGCTGTTGCTGGTGGTGAAGGTAAAGCGTTGCTGGTGGTGAATGCGCGTTGTTGGTGAATAAGGTTGCTGGTGATAGCGCAAGTGCCGGTTGGTGATGATGCGGTAAGCAAGCTGTTGGTGGTGAAGGGTAAGCGCTGTTGGCGGTGAATGCGCGTTGCTGGTGGTGAATGCGCGTTGTTGGTGGCAGCGCGCGTTGTTGGGGTGAAGGCAAGCGTTGTTGGTGGTGAAGGTAGCGTTGTTGGTGATGATGGCGCTGTTGGTGGAGGTACGCGGCTGGCGGCATGCGGGGCGTTGCTGGTGAGAAGCGGCGTTGGCTGGTGACGAACAGGCGCTGTTGGTGATGATGGTGGCGTTGCTGGTGGTGAAGGTAAGGTTGCTGGTGATGGCTGCAAGGGTTGTTGGTGGTGAAGGGTAAGTGTTGCTGGTGATGGCTGCAGCTTGTTGGTGATGAAGGCAAGGCTTGCTGGCGATGGGGCTGTGCGCAAGTGCTGGTGATGAAGGTAAGTGCTGTTGGTGACGGTTGCGCGTTGGCTGGCGGTGAAGCAGCGCGTTGCTGGTGATGAAGGCAAGCGCTTGTTGGTGATGAAGCTGCGCGTTGTTGGTGATGAAGCCGCAAGTGTCTGGCGGTGAATGCGGGGCGTTGCTGGTGATGAAGCGCGTTGCTGGTGGTGAAGCCTAGGCTTGCTTAGTGATACGCAAGCGTTGTTGGTGATGAATAAGTAGGGGTATTGTTGGTGATGCATTGCGCGTTGGGAGCTGGTGGTGAAGGCAAAGGTTGCTGGCTGGTGAAGTGCAAGTGTTGTCTGGTGAAGGTGCTGCTTGCTGGTGGTGAAGGCAAGGTTGTTTGCAGAATGCAAGGTTGCTGGTGATGAAGGCAAGTGCTTGTTGGTGATGAAGCTGCAAGTGTTGCTGGTGGCGAATGCAAGCGCTGGTTGGTGGTGAAGGCGCGTTGGCGATGAATGCGCGTTGCTGGTGGTGGAAGGCAAGTGCTTGCTGGTGGATTAGCAGTGCGTTGCTGGTGAAGGCAAGCGTTGTTGGTGATGAAGTGCAAGTGTTGTTGGTGGAAATGCGCGTTGTTGGTGATTAATGCAAGTGTTGCTGGTGATGAAGGCGTTGTTGGTGGTGAAGGTAAGCGTTGCTGGTAGATGATGGCGGTGTTGTTGGTGACGAAGGTGCGGTTGCTGGTGGTGAACAGGGGCGTTGTTGGTGATGAAGGCAAGTGTTGTTGGTGGCGGCTGCAAGCGTTGCTGATGACGGCTGCGCGTTGTTGGTGGTGAAGGTAAGTGTTGCTTGGTGATGAAGGTAAAGGTTGTTGGTGATGAATAAAGTGTTGTTGGCGGTGAAGGCGTTGCTGGTGATGAATGCAAGTGTTGCTGGTGAAGGTAAGCGTTGTTTGGTGATGAAGGTAGGGGCTGGTTGGTGCGAATGCGTTGCTGGTGATGGCTGCGCGTTGTTGGTGGTGAAGGCAATGTTGTTGGTGAGAAGGCAAGGTTGTCAAGATGAAGCGCGTTGTTGGTGGCGGTGAAGGCAAGTGCTGCTGGAAGATGGCTGCGCGTTGCTGGAGTGGTGAATAAGCGTTGTTGGTGATGATGCGTAAGTGCTGCTGGTGAATGCGCGCGTTGATGGTAGAAGGCGGTTGCTGGTGATGATTTGCGCGTTGTTGGTGATGAAGGTGCGTTGCTGGTGGTAGGCTGCAAGTGTTGTTGGTGGTGAAGGTGTTGTTGGTGATGATGGTAAGTGCTGCTGGTGATTTAGCTGCGCGTTGCTGGTGAAGGCAAGCGTTGTTGGTGGTGAAGGTAAGCGTTGCTGGTGATAAGCTGCAAGTGTTGTTGGTGGTGAAGGCAAGTGTTGCTGGGTAGATGGTAGGCGTTGCTGAAGATGAATGTAAGTGCTGTTGGTGGTGAAGGTAAGGTTGGTTATGATGATGGCAAGTGCTTGTTGGGTGAGAATAAGGGCGTTGGTTAAGGTGATGCAGGGTTGTTGGCGGTGAAGCGCTGCTGTTGGTGATGAAGGCAAGTGTTGTTGGTGATGAAGGCAAGGTTGGCGGAAGCAGCTTAGGTTGTGAAGGTAAGTTTGTGATGAAGGCAAGGCTTGCTGGTGGTGAAGGGCGTTGTTGGTGATGATGGTAAGTGCTGTTGGTGGTGAAGGCAGGTTGGTGATGAAGGCGCGTTGTTGGTGGTGAAGGTAAGTGTTGTTGGTGAGATGGTAAGGGTTGTTGGTGGTGAAGGTAAGTGTTGTTGGTGATGAAGGTAAGTGTTGTTGGTGGTGAAGGTAAGTGTTGTTGGTGATGATGGTAAGCGTTGTTGGTGGTGAAGGTAAGTGCTGTTGGTGATGAAGGTAAGGGTTGTTGGTGGTGAAGGCAAGTGTTGTTGGTGATGAGACGGTAAGTGCTGTTGGTGATGAAGGCGTTGTTGGTGATGAAGGTAAGTGTTGTTGGTGGTGAAGGTAAGTGCTTGTTGGTGATGGATGCAAGGTTGCTGGTGATGAAGGCAAGGCGTTGGTGGTGAAGGCTAAGTGTTGTTGGTGGTGGGCTGCAGGGGTTGTTGGTGGTGAATGTAGGGGTTGTTGGTGGTGAAGCAAGTGTTGTTGGTGATTGGCGTAGGGTTGTTGGTGATGAAGGTAGGGTTGTTGGTGATGAAGGCAGGGGTTGTTGGTGATGAAGGTAGGGGTTGTTGGTGATGAAGGTAAGTGTTGTTGGTGGTGAAGGTAAGTGTTGTTGGTGATGAAGGTAAGTGTCATAGAAGCTACAGGTTGACGCTGATGAAGCTACCAATTGAAGCTATGAGTGTCGAAGCTGCTAATTACTCCTGACCACAACACCACTTAATCAGTACCCATAGTCATTCAGGAGAGAGAGAGAGAGAGAGAGAGAGAGAGAGAGAGAGAGACACAACTCCTCACTTAACCCAACTGACGCAGGACGCTGGTTCATACGTCCCTGTTGACCGCTAAAGATATTATTACTATTTCATTTTGTCCTCTTCACCACTGAACAGCTCGTTAGCCGCTTGGGCGGTAGGTCACGTCTCTGTTACGCACTATTGGCAAGTACTGGGCATGCACCGGATCCTGAATGAGCTCACACTCGGTGCCGTCACAACACTCTGGCAAATTGTTCCAAGAGTTTACAACTCTCACTCCGAAAAAGTTTGCTCTCGCAGTTTTCTGGACTTATGGCTTCGTCAACCTTGAGGTGTGACCCCTTGTAGGGCGGGTGTCCACCAGCTCCAGGTATGGACACTCGACCGAGGAGTGCCCCCTGAGATGTTTGTACACTTCGATTAGGTCGCGCCTCGCCCGTCTGTAGTATAACCTAGGTAGTTGCAGGCGCTCCGATCTCTCTGGGTAACTGAGGTTCCGTCAAGCAGGCACCAGTCTGGTGACCCTCATTTGGACATTTTCAATCAGTTGACAGTCTCTAGCATACCTCGGGGACCAGACGGAGTGACAATACTCCAGACGGGGAAGCACCTCACTCTTGACGATAGTGACGAGCGACGGACCGTCTAGAATACTCTAGACACTGTATCTAAATGACCTTCTTATAAGACCTACTAGTTTCGCTGCCTGGTTCACCTTCCTCTCTCAATGGCCCGAGAACTTAAGTTCATTGTCAACATACACAGTGGTTACACACCCAGGTCCTTTTCACATTCGGTCTCAATTAATGTAGTCTCTTCATCCTGTTGTGACATGTGATACGCCTCCTTAATGTTGGTGCGACTCAGGTGCATCCTTTTACACTTCGCGACATTGAATTATAAAAGATATTATTCTGTAGCTCTTCACAGTCTGCTTGGTTCTTAATTTCCCTAAATAACTTGGCATCGTCCGTAAACATTTGTATGGAGGAGTGTACAGCTTCTGGCATATCGTTAATGAAGCAGACAAACAACAAAGAGCCCAAGACACTGCCCTGTGGTGGGTACACACGACGACTTCGTATCATTTATCACCACATTTATGACCTCTTTGCGGTCATGCAGAAAGTCTCTGATTTTTTACTAGGACATTTCCCCGAATCTCGTATCCTTCCAGTTTCATTCACAGCCTTTTATGGTGTACGCTGTCGAAAGCCTTGGCACAATCTAGGGATATATTGTCGATATTTCCGCCTTGTTCTAGAATTTTATTCCAAACATCCAGTACCGGCATAAAACCGTGTTGGTAATCCTTTACAAGGTTGTTTCGTAGCAGATGTTCCATCATGACATCTCTTACGATGCTCTCTACACACTATGCTGGTCAGGCTTACTGGTCTACAGTATAATTATTTGTGGAGTGACGATCGCCCTTCTTGAATAAAGGACTTAAATAAGCCATTTTCCAGTCATCGGGGACCTTTTGCTCATCCAGGCATTTACAGAACAGGATCTTAAGGGGCTCCGGAAGCTCGCTACACAGTTCTCTTAACACTCTGGGATGTACCATATCTGGGTCAGCTCTGTGTTGAATTGTCTGTCCTCAAACGCAGGAAGGTTGTTCGCATCCTCTCGTGAACACCGATGTTAAAGACTTTGTTCAACGCCTCCGCCTTATCCTGGCCAGAATCTACCATCTTCAAGCCTCAGATCCAATATGCCAACTTGCGTTTTTAATTTCGACTTTGCGTAGCGGTCAAAGGCCTTTGGGTTTGACTTGACCTCACTAGTGATCCGGCTCTAGAACTCCGTTTCAGCCCTTCTACACTATGACTTTGCTTGGTTCCTGGATCTGGCATACATCCTCCTGTCCTGCTCATCATTTGTCCTAACCCACGTCTCGAAATCCTGAGTTTTCATCTTAACTTTGCTGACCGCTGCATGGTTCATGTGTAGTGGTCTCCTTGTATTCCTGGAGGCACTGGGTTTGGTTTTGGGTATATATTTATCGATCAAATGGTTAATTTTACTGGCTATGATATTCAGCGTAGCATCTGCGTTCTTATTCCTTAGTAAGTCAAGCCAGTGTATACTCTTCATCTCCTCCCTCATCCCGTCGTAATTTTCTTTGTAATAAGAACTTAAAAACATAAGAAAATAATGAGTCTGCAATAGGCCGGTTGGCCTGTGCATGGCAGCTCCTGTCGGGAGTTACAACCACTCTCTATCGTCCATGAATCTATCTAGCCTCCTTTTAAAACTTTCCAGAGTTCCCGCACTTACTACAAAGTTGCTAAGCTTGTTCCACTCGTCCACCACTGTATTTGTGAACCAGTTCCTTCCTATCTCCCTCCTGAACCTAAACTTATCCAACTTAAATCCGTTGCTACGAGTCCTATCCTGCTCGGATATTATAAGAACTTTATCTATATCTCCTTTATTGATTCCTTTCACCCACTTAAATACTTCTATCATATCTCCCCGCACTCTTCGTCTTTCTAGGGAATGCAAGTTTAGACAGACAGACAGACACTCTTATTACTTACACTTCTAGTTAAAAAACCTAATACTCTGTTTGCCTTATTTCGAACATTAACGCACTGTTTTCTAGGCCGAAGGTCCGGGCTTACAAGTACCCCTAAGTCTTTTTCACAAGTCGACTTTTCTAGTTCGATGTCGTTAAGGCTGTATACGTTTACAGTATTTGTTCTTCCAATATTAAGTACGATGCACTTGCTGGTGTTGAATTTCATTTGCCATTTTTCTGATCGCTCCTGCAGTTTATTTAAATCCTCCTGTAGTGCATTTGCACCCTGCCCTGAATTAATCTGTCGCCCTATTTTGGTGTCATTCGCAAACTTGCTTATTTGAACCTGGACCTG